CTTCTCTTACATTCTCACGTTATTAAAAATTTTCTGAATACTTCTTTGATGAATGTGGCTTTTATTTCACATTGAAATGACATCCTACTCCTGGTTTTAGGATGGCTATCATTTCTGGATTAGGCTGATCACATTGCACTGTGTAACAAAGTCAACACCAAAGTCACTAAAATGCAATAACAATGAGTTTAAAAGAAGCAGAATGTACAATATAGAATATTCTATGCTTTATGGTTGGCACTTACTTCACGGCACTTCAACATGACCCTCCTCTGACAATAGCAGTCATGACAGCAAATAAAAATGACAAAATGGAATGACTGAAACACTGCAGAAATTAGTAACAAAGCAAGCAATCCTGTGAAATTGGCTGACAAATGGTTAACAACATGAAATGAGTCTACTGAGAGAGTAGTCAAGTGAAAAATCAAGGCTTGAGAACTATCCCACCTATTTCATCAACTATAAGATCCAGACATCCTTTACAACAAACCAGATATAGGATCAGTCCTTGGATTTGCTACTAAGCAAGATTTGCTTCTAAGTTCAGTTCTGCCTTACCTGTTTGTGAAAAAAACAGGAACTTTTCCAGATACTCGTGAAAAAAATAATTCAGAGACGGACAAAACTACTGGCCACGGACAGTTCCACTTTTAAAACTTGTTATTCCAACACAGTACAGGTTATTTTTCCTAGAGGACTCAATTCTGCCTGGTTAAGCGTCCTCCACAACTCCCACATTTATAATGAGCATTTCCCCACTACCAGAAGTGACGCCAGCTCACCCCAGAGGCCACAGGAACATTGTGCAAACACAGCCAGAAGAGCACAAGCACTGTTTGAACTAGAAATTGTTTCTCCCTGTGGCAAAGCTACCGATCATTTTGCTACGCTGGGAGGGAGCAGTGGCAGTTGCTGTTCATTATTCTTTATTAATACTCGGAGCCAGAATGCTGTTTTTGCTGGGGGCTGTGTTTTCTCTCCCCAGTAGCCACGGGGTCTATTCTGTGTTAATCATGCTGACATTATTCAGCGGGTCTCAAAGGCTTGCACTTGATCACCATGTTGCTACGCAACTGCCAGGTTCACAGACAGAGCCAGCACTCCTCTCTTCACCTGATAAAAATCCTGCCTTTCTCTTCTCCCCAATTCTTTTATCAGCTCCTTGTAAAAACCAGTAGCCTCTTGAGTGAATTTATAGCACCACTGTATTTCTAACACCACAGTCGATACTACGTGTCCTGTTCTCCTCACTGAGAGCAGAGCGTCACCTGCCAAGACAGGTGCTCCCTCCCTGGGTCTTCCCAGCGCTGTACATGAGCATATCCAAATTTGGAAATAGGAATCACAACCAGAGCTCATCACTGGGGCTTTAGTTCCGGGTGTTTGGGTCAAACAGAGCCCCATATTCAAGCAACCCTCAAGGTTTTCTACAAGAACGGGTGAGGAAAACTGGAGGGAGCGACAGTCAGATATTGGGACCTGACTACCTAGACAGACCAGATTAAAATCTCTATCTGTGGTCATAATTTCTTAAATTTCTTAAAGTAAATGATGGCCAAAATTGGGAGTGGAATCTCTCTTCTCAAACCTTCTGACCAAACCATGCTTTTATTAGTACAAAATAAGCAAGTGCATCCTCTCGCTTCTTCCTCTTTTTCCTTCTCCTACCAGACTCCTTTTCCCTATCCCGTGGCTAGCCACTGCCACTGAGAAGCAGATGGTTTCCAGCCAAAAGTTTTCAGGCTTTATTTAAAAATCTTGAAACTTGATGTCTCCACAAGAACCATGGAAAACTATAAATACCCTGTGTAAAACTATTGTTAAACCCGTGTGCCGAGAATAAAAGCAAGTTTAGGGTGGTTTTAATGTAATAACTGAGAAATTATGTTCAGTATTGTAGGATGATCTCTTCCTAATCCTCATTTATCAAAAATATACAAAAAAAGATATTTTTATGGGTTTCTGTGGCAAGAACTATCTACAGTTTAATTCACCCCTGTACTACCCTAACAGGGCAGTTGCTGTGAATGAACCAGAACTGTACACCTACTGCAGAAGGCTGTGCAAAAGGAATTTTTTGGGATATTTAGGATTCCACTCTGGGCTATAACTTCATGTATGGGCCAATAAGCAACTACATATTTTTAATTTCATCAGGCTGCTTGGGCTGTGAACATCATCCAAGCAAACCTGTGAACGTTGTTCCTATTCATAACACTTCCCAATCCCTCTCCTTGGCTGAGGGAAGGGAACAGGCATACTCATTTTTTATCATTTTTCCTTTAGCAGAGCCAACGAGTTATTCTTTAATTTAGCAGAATCCATGCTTTTCATGAGCTAAAATTCCTTTTCTCCCTTTCTAATGCAACCTCACAGGGAAGGGCTGCAAGCTCTGCAATTGGCTGTCAGAGGCTTTATAATATTAGAAAAAAACCCCAAGAAACTCTAGGAATTTTACCTTTAAAATTTAAATATTAGCTTTCATGCTTGAAATTTTCACAAGGTGGTATTCCTTGGTCATAATATTTGACAGCTTTGTAAAAAATTGTGGCAGTTGTGCAAGTGGGTTAGAAAGGCTGTAATTTATTTAACTTCTAAAAGATAAGACAGGAGTAAAAGCAGTAAAAAAAAAAGCATTTACCAAGCATCAACAGCTTATGCTGTTCCCTCTTTCAGACTTCTTATCAAGCTGAGAAATTAATCCTCTCTCATCCACCCCCAGCATGTGGGGCTGGTTTTGCACAGGCAGAGGGGAAGGTCCTGCCCGGCTCCAGGGGGTGGAATCTGAATCTACAGCTGATCTTCTACATTTCCATTTCTCTACCTCACCCTTGTTGAGATGAAAAGGAATTGCCTGCAGCACCTTTCCAAACATACTTTTAATATCTGTGGGTAGCTGGTTCTCCTCTGCTGGCTCCCACATATCACTTCACTTAAAAAAGAGATCCTGAGTAAACTTTTCTGATCATTTTAGCATCTTCAGTTAACCTCGTAATCAAAAAATAACATAATCATATCACTTTTGAAAACAGAACAAAACAAAATACAGTTCTCTTTCCTCCTGTTCCCACTGGGAATTCTATTTTCTCCCACGGTCAAATGGCAGCCAAGAGTTTTGCTGCTCTATTCCACTGCCAATTTATCCTATTTATTCCCTTATAGCTCTTTTGGCATTGTTACATCCCAGGATCCTCTCTCTGATTTGCAAAGATGTCTGTTTGGTTTCACTTTTCAGGAAAGAAGTAGGATTTCAGCCACATTGAAATAATGCTTTGGATGGTTTTGTTTCCAAATTGAGCCTCTAAAGAATTTGCCAAATCTGAATTGGACAGCGTTACAAATTTATATTGCTTTTCTGTCCTTGAGTTTTTTGATTTTTATTAAGTCAGATCTTTCTCTAAAATGTAACATATGGGGCTACTCTTACTTATGTAATAGTTTGCTTTCCTCCAATGAAGTAGTGTAGTTTTTAATTTTTTTCCAGCCTTTATAATTTTTAAACATCTTTTCTCAAAAAATGTATATTTACTTCTACTTTTCATTTTCCTCTCAGTAATGACAATACTTTGATATTTTTACAGTACATTGTAGTTGGTAGCTTCAGTTATTTTCTAATAAAATAGGGATGGTAAAGATCTCCACTGTAATCTGGAAATACCTATCAGTTTAAAATTAAAAGATGATAAATAATATTATACACATGAAGCTAAAGGCAACATGGTCATGGGACTTAACAAGAAACACAGAATCGTAGAATCATAGAATCAGTCAGGTTGGAAAAGACCTCTGAGATAAGTCCAACCCTTGATGCAACACTGCCATGGTTACTAGGCCACATGATCAATGTCTAGCAAAAATAGTATTTTTTTTTCATGTATGAAGGTTTTTCCTGTACAGCCAACTCAGTTTCTACTCCAATTAGTCAAGTGCCACCAAAAAGAATTCCAGAATTTCAGTGTTTTATTTCCATTCCTTCATTCTAAAAATTGTATTACCCCCCTATCACCAGTTTGATGACTTCCATCTTGCAGGAACCAATATGAATACCTGAGGCTGGGGCTGTTGATCATACTGTTTTCTGAATGAGCAATCATTTGCAATCAACAGAGCCACCCTTCCCTTAAAAATCAAATTATCTTCATGTATGCAAAGTATAGCAGCTTTTCAAAGGCTGACTTACTTATTAACCAGCAGAATAATTCTAATAAAATTTACTTTTTTTTTTTTTTTTTGGTGACTGGATTTCATGAGATTATGTCCATGTTCCACAAAATTACTTGTACATTCCCCCAGTGGTGTCTGGCTTCTGCAACTTATCACTTAAGTACCTTTCGGAAACCACTTATACATGAATGTATTGCAGTGCCCTGTCAGGGACACCTACTTCAACCTGTGAACATCAGAGACTATTCACTAACCAGAAAAAGGTAGAACTTAACCCCCCAATACTAAGTGGCAGAGATGCTAAATTAACTTTTTAGTAATAACATGAACACCTCACAGTGATTTCAATGAGTAATTTTCTAAAATAGCTTTATGCTTTATGGTAAAGTGGATTATGAGAGGCCTCAGCATGAATCAAATGGCACCACACAGTGAATGTGAAGGAACCCTAAGCAAAACCATGTTTTACCTGTTTGAAGCCAAAATAGCTTATGGGACTAAAGGAAAAATAAATTATCACCACATTTTAAAAGAAAAAAAAAAATTAAAGAGAAAAATACTGCTTAAAGAGAAATCCAAGTGACTCACATCGAAATGACTGAAAGGTTTGTGCAAACTGTTGGAGAAGACTGAGAAAGCTCCTGTCCTATGGTGTAGGCTACACAAATATTGACAATGTAAGAAATTCTTGTCTGACATAGACTATTCATTAAGCAAATACATAGAACAGAGTACACTCTTCTTTAATCTACATGATTTACAAGGGAAGTTAGTGAGGGGTTGGCAAAAAAATCAAGCCCTTATCAGGAAATTGTTTGGTTAATTACTTTTACCTTGTACTGAGACTTGCAGTCTTTGTTCCAGTCGGTGACTCCAATCCCTCCCCTGGCTTTGAGGATTTCTCTCTGTTCATTTGCTGGAGTATTGAGTTCAATTCACTAATAACATTAGCCTTGGGGCCTGAGAGAATCGGGCTTTTCACCTCCGGCACATCCCCCCATAGCTTGGATGTCCTTTGGGGAACAACTTTAGCCATGTTGGGCTGGGCACTGATGGGAGGCGGGGGCGGAGCGGGAGGAGGGATCACAAAGCTGTCCACAGTCTCCTCGATCAGCGCGTCCTTGTAAAGTGCATTGCTTTTGTTGATTATGGGCTTCATTTTTGGCTTAGGAGGTACTGGGGGTTTGTCCACCAGAAATGTTTGCCCATCTGCATAGACTGTACAAGTATCCACATTCTCCCCCCCTTCTGAGGATAAGGTAGAGATGCTGGACACCGTTGAGATAGTGCTGGTTGTCTCTAAGTGATGGTCACTACTACTTCGGCTGTCTACCTCCTCAATCCCAGAGTCAGTGACGTTATCAAAGCTGTCAGGGGGTGGCAGAAAGGAGGCAGGCAAACAGTTTGAAAGACCCACTTGCTTTTTGTTGTCTAGGGAATTTGTTGGCTGGCTGGGGGGGAAAGGTGTGCCATTCTTCCTCTGTGTGATCAGGTCTGTCAGAGCCGACCCGGGAGCCGCGCGGTCGTCGGGGATATCAAAGCTGTTGGCAAACTCCAAGGGAGGGGGCAATGGCTCAGTGAACATAAACTCTTCATCAATATCCACCGATGCCAAGGGTGGTGGGGGGATGCGGAAGGGCAGGATGACGGGGTCGTCAACAGAGCTTGCTGCCACGATGGTTTTGCAGGGAGATGCCGGTGGCTCAGGTGCAGCAGGTGCGTTCAGATCACTTTCTTCCACTTCCTTGCTCCCCTCTACCCTCTCTGGTGGGGAGTTTTCAGGACTTGGCTCCATCTCAGCTTCCTTTTCCTCCTCATCTTCAACCATATCGTCTGACTTCACTGTGTCCACGGTATGAACCATCAACAAGCCAGCTGACTTCTGCTGTGAGGTATCCACAATGTTTATCAACATGTTCTTCTTCTCCTCAGCTTTCTTTTCTTTCCCTGCATCTGTTTCATACTTGTTCTCAGTCTCCTGCCGTCTCAACAAGCCACGGGTGTTTTGCCTCGTGACAGTGGCAGTAACAGGAAAAGTTGTTTCCATGTTGGGTCTCAGCTTTGTATCGATGTAAAGTGGTTTGTTAAGGTCTGTTTTGACAGCATCTCCTTTGCCTGGAATCTGCTGTGTTTGTTCTTTCATGGCTCTGTCCCTGGCAGAGAGCGCGAGGGCTAGTGGTGAGTTTGGATCCAACAGCTTCCCTGTGACCGGGTGCACGTAACTCTCTGGGCTGGATGCGTTCGTGGACTTGGCTGCCACTGCACTATTGTCAGTACCTTTTATTTTGGACGAAACATTTAATGTCCTTGAGTCACTCTGATTGCTGGGCTCACTGCTATTAAAGAGACTTTCAGGCTCTCTGGGTGCAGGAATAGGTGATGGTGACATGAGCTGTCTGAAACCATCCTCGCTACTGAACATTGCTTCATCGGTAAACTTAGACTGCCTCATGCGTGGTGTTGGCGGGGTTAGCCCAACATCCTCATCTCCCAGGTCTGTGGAAAGGAAGGCTGGAGAATTCCTCCTTGCTTCCAACCTCTTTTCCCTGTCCCTCACTGCCCCTGCAATGGCTGCTGCAAACGGACTGCTGACACCCAAGCTGTCATCGGGCCGGAGCTGCCCTGGTTGCTCTGAAGACTGAGGATCGATCTCCATGCTGCTCCCTTGGCTGCTTTTCCCACTGCTGCTGGTGGATGGCTCTTTCACAATGATTGTTGGGATTGGAATAGAGCAGGTCTTTTCTGGACTGTCCTCAACATTGGATTGTTTCACCAGCATCCCCTTCCGCCTCGCTGGTTTGGCCGGCACGTAAACTGCTTTGCTTGCAATCTTCCCAACCTCAGAATATGGATTTTCTGGCATCTGACCTCTCTTGTTCCTGAAATTTGCCTGAGCTGCAGCACTTCGACTGTACAGGTCTTCTGAGTCCAGAGAGTATCGGTCCAGCTCTCGTCTGTAATAGATCCCTTTGTCCCTTATCATCGTTCCCACGCTCTCAGGCCTAACCAAGGAAATTTTTGCACCTGAATTCTGGTTAAATGGAGGTTTAATAGTTCCATAGCTCCTTGTTGTCAGGGATTTGGGGGAGTTGTACAGAGAGGGAGAAGGTGGTGGTGGTGAAGGAGGTAAGGACTGTGGTGGTGGTGGGATATCTTCAGAGGTGTCAGGCATTGAGAGACTTCTGGTAAACTTCAGCATAGGAGGAGCCAGAAACTGTCGTTCTTCCTCTGTTATTCCTAAAAAAATCAGAAAGTATATTTAAAACACTGTCTTCCACTGGGATCCCTCTGCATTATTACTGTATTATTTCTGTATCCAAACCAAAATGCTGGGGTGCATTTCCCATGACACAAGGCATACGCAAAATTGTAAAGGAGGTCTTTTGGTTGATTCCTACATAGGAATTCTTTCCTGTTGAACTTCCATATGCCAGAATTGAAAAGGATGCTACAGAGTTTTAATTAAACTGATCACTGACGTGTAGGCAAATGCTTGGGGCTTATGTATCATCAAGGTAGCTGTAGAGAAGTACATTTTCTATGAAAATTACTGAAGAGGGAAGATGTTCTGTGCAGAAGAGTAGCTTCTGCCTTGCTCTAGCACTCTATAAAATGCATATGATAATGCAACTTGGAAACCTAATGAATTTTTAAGATGCTTGTGGAATTTAGCAAGGGGACTGTGAAGATCCTATTGGGGACAAAAATCATAATGTTTCCTTACAAAGGATGACATTATATTATTACAAATACAGCTTTTAACACAAATAAACCAGGTAATACTGGGGTAATTTGGATGCTAATTTTACATCAACATAATGTGTTTCTAAATTGACAAAAATCACTACTAAGATTACTACCAAGAAAAAAGCAAACCCAAATTTGGTCTGTTTGGGACTGTTCTTCCTTTCTTTATTGTAAAATCATCTATTGCCGTAATTTGATATGAAAAAAAGGAGAATTTTAGTCTGTTTGATCAAAAGGATTGCTTTGTAAACTACACAGCATTACAGTGCTTTTACCTCAATAACAAAGAAAAAAGGGATAACGTTTTGCCCCAATGCTTTGCAAAGGGCTTGTACTGATCTTTTTTTTTCCTTGTTAGAGTCAACATTCTAAAGAAAACAATTAAATTATAATTCCATAGTTGCCTACTGCCATCAAAGCAGAATGTGGAAATTACATCACTTTACACACAAACTTCTTTTATCATGAACTTTGTACAAAAATTAAATAGTCACTCACTGAGGCAAAGGTATTTTAGGACTATGCTTTAAGAAAGAAGTAAAGTTACTACAAGTATATGATTAATGCACAGGCAAACTATACATGAGAAGCATTTTACCTATAGATTTTTGCCTCCTCATTGTACCCCGAGGTATACCCAGAAACGGACCTTGAGGACTCCCTGGTACAGTGGGCGTCATCACGGCAATACCCTGTCTCTCATACATGGACTACAAAAAAGCAAACAGAAACCCCCCAAGCATTAAAGCACGAATGTCTCTCTCACATGTAAATAACTCTTCTGTCATAGCTGCTAATTCACTATCCCTTTTACTTAGAATTTCTACGGAAAATAACAAAATTGGTGTTATTCTAGGTAGGAGGGGAACAGAAAGGGAAGGGTTTTATTTATATAAAGTGACAGCAGCTGTAAGTGTATTTCCTTGAAATTATTTACAAGGCAATATATTAAAGTTTCCAGCACAATTTGAGTGCCGTAAGAAATTGTAAGCATGAGCAACTGCATTTTAATTCATTCAGTTCCAAAAACCCAACCACACACCTTGTAGCTATTAATGCTCCCTCTGTGTGATCTCCCTTCACTTCTGAAGACCAGAGCTATTCTTGGAGTCTTTCACAGACTCAAGGTGTCTTGTGCAAGGTTACACTGGCAGGCAGCATCTCAGCTGGGAACTGAGGAATGCCACCTGAATCTCAGCACTCTCAATTGTTCCTCCTTCTCATCACAAAACTATTTGTACTCTACCTCTTAGAATAGCCTTAATTTCCTTCCACTCTGAGCTGCTGCGAACAGAAAGTGCTTGTTACATCAGGACTGATGCTCTTTCAGAGAGATGGGTAATGGAAAAATATATCTAAAATGCAATAAAACCAATTATTCTTTCACATGCAAAGTTTTGTGAGAGCAAATCCTGCAACTGAACAATTCAGTTTCAGAGTTCTGGAGTTCAATTTTTAATACGTGCTATAATATTAATGTCAATTTTTCACTTACAAATCATTGTGCATTATTTAATTGAGGTATTATAAATGCCATTAGGACAATAAAAACCTGCAGTAGGAGAAACTTTCACATTAGTGGGGATGATGTGGCTGCACTAACTCTGGTGCTGAAACTGAAATAGCATACCTTGATTTTCAGCATGTTTTTTTAACTGAGACTTCGTGTTGTAATGACACCTTCAAGTTCAGAACTTGCTGGGCTCTCACCAGCTCAAGTTCACATCTGCTTGAGTAACACTGAGGAAGCAATGCTGTTGGTGTGACAGTCTCAGAATAAATATGAGGACATAATGAGAAAGGTTTTATAGGGGTATGTAGACTGTTCTGTCCCAAAACTATTACTAGAAATGCAGCGTAGACCATGCCTTAAAAGTTACAAGATAATAAAAGTAAAATAAATATCTAAAACCAAAAGACCCCCTCCAAATAGTTCCAGAAATGAAAGCAGCACTTCATAGCTCCCACTCACATTCATATCTGTAGCTGAGGGAAAACATCTACTAGAAGGCCTCTGTTTTATCGTTGCCACTCTCGAGTCCACAGCTGCATTGTCTGCAATTCTTGATGGCTTGGAAACTGGTATTATTTCATCCACCTTATCTGTAATATAAAAGTGTTCAGTAAAATAAATATCATTCGTCCAAAGAAACTGAAAAGTATTGCAGGGTCAAAGGAAGAGATTTACATTTCAAAAAAATGCAAAGAAAAATTTTTTTGGCATTTTAACAAGGCAACGCTTGAGCATCATAAGTCGTGCAAGCCGAGCACTTTTTATTGCTGCTACATAACATGCATGCTTTAGTTTTAAGCCTGCATGCATTTAATGTTTACTTAGTGTGACTCGAAAAACAATCCTCTTCTTCAAACCTTCAAAATGTGAAGGGAGAATATCTATATAGAAATGGAAAGAAGACCTTTAGAAATAATGAATCTGTACAGCACTGTTTCAAATAGAGATAAGCAGACTGTACTTAGTCATCAGAATTTCAGTGATATTTTGGACAATAACAAGTACTCCAGAAGTGCTCTTTTATGCCTATTCTCCTCAAGTAATAACGTTCTAATTTATTCACACTCTTAGACTCGTAGACCAGCATTACTAACTGCATTATTTGTTTAAATGAAACTTTTATATGTGTTTTTTTTTATTTTAATAACTGGATGGCTTGAGAATGTATTTAGTTGTGGTCAGAAATAGACCAAATAGGTAAAGTCCAAGTCTGAATGAGAGCTTCAACATTTGGATTTGGGATTCTGATCTACCATATGACATGATGGTAAAATATGGGGAGAACTTTATTCATAATGTTCCAAAGCTGAGTGCTGGTGTTAGCCCCGTCTCCAACTTTGGTCATGAACAAGCTCCATTAGCACTTAATACATTAGGTTACTCCCTCAGACTGAAGACCTCGAAGTACCATATAATCAACTAATTATTGCCTGACAGTTCCTTTTTTTGCCCCTTCTACTGCTGTGAAACCAAGGCATGGAGAAATTAAACAAGTAGCCTAAGCCACCAGAATAGTTTGAGTTTTGAATCTGTACTAGAATCCAAAATTGAATCATACCAACAGGTTTCCTTGCTACACCTTCCATGGCATTTGCTTCCCTGTAGCATGTTAATTTAGTGTCTTTTCCTTTGAAGTTTCACCAAAGTAAGGATTAGTTACATAGCCTGTGGTGTTTATGTGAGTGGAATACCTTAGCCTGGCTCCTGGGCTTCCACAACGAGAGTTAGAGCAATGTTACTTTTCAGCAATTAAATCCATCTCTCAAAGAATTGATTATTTGCTTCAGCAAACAAGGGTACCCTACTTCATTAGGGTACTATAGATTAAAAAAAAAAAAAAAACAACCACCATTTTTTTTGGCAGTGTTACTATGTCAAGTATTGGATTTAGGGATTTAAGTTTTACCTCTCACAGGAGAGCAGCGCACTCAGGGCCCTGGATATTGATATGGATGGGAATAAGGCAGGAGGAAAAGAGCTTTTGATCCCTCTAAACAGTAGATCTGGCTGATGCAAGGATGGTATTTTAAATGGGAGAAAAAGAGAGGGAAAAACTTTTAGCCTTCGGGTTAGGAAGAAGGTTGTCCTAGAAGTGGATATTTCAGTGTCACAGAGGGGCAGGGAGCAGGCAGGAAAGGAAAGGCTGAGCAGGACCAGCAAGCTGAATACTGCTGAAAACTGTCTCACAAGAGTGGTGTTGCTATTTCTTTTCAATTGAAGTTAGCATTCAATTCTTTTCATTGGTCTGCTTTATTTTTTTTGTGAGATTTAAATCATCCAGTGGAAGGAGAAAAGGAAAAAATTCTTAAAATCGTCACACGTATTCAAAAATAAAACAATGTCACATTTCATAATGACTTTGTTATACAAACTGTGAACTTCTGAAAGAAAAATATCTGCACTTCTGCTCAGCAAAAGGCATCAGAAAGCAACGGTGTAACCATGAATATTTGACCTATACATCAAAAATATGGCCAGACTGCAGAATTATACTCAGGGGATCTATCACCAAGAGCTTCAACCGGGCAGATTTCCTGTTAAGGCTCTCCCACCCTTGTTGTCATTCCAGAAGCCAAACAACTGGTCTTTTGGACACAGAAAGAAGTAAGTTTTGGAAACTGAAGCACTACGTACTCAAAATATGTACATAAGAAATATAAATATACCATGTAAGAACTGATCCCCTTTATTTTTAACAGACACATGTAACCATATACCCATTCAGACAACAAAAAGCTACAGGGAAAGAGTGATGAGGCCATGACAGACACTTGAAAAGCATGAAAATATTTGTTGGGGATGGAACATACATACCCTCCAACTGCACTGATTTTGCTAGACAATACTACAAATCAGATCCTAATGTTGGATCCGAGCAAAATATCAGTTGGCACCAATTCTTAATACCATCTACTACTTCCGGGTGGAAAAAAACTTTGGCTTTGTTTAAGTTTATTGCAGGTTTCTTGTCTGTAGACAGGTTCCCAGTCCTTCTCACACCTATGGCTGCTCCTGTTGGAGTGGTGCTTTGTGCCTTGCCATGTCTAGCTAAAGCACTTGGAAATGGAAGAGGAGAGCAGGTTAAAGATTAAGCTGCTTTGCAAGGAACTCTTTAGTGCTTCCTTGCATGGCACTTTCAACTGCAGCACTGCTACATCTTCTTTTTGCTCTGCTGCCTTTAGTCAGGAAGCAAAGGTGGAGTGGAGGTTGTTGTTTTGAGACTACAACAAAAAAATTTGAAGCCATGGAAGTAGCCAGTACGTGAGAACGAGACTGGTTCTAAATGGTAGCAGCTACATGGCGGGTCCTGAAGAGCAAGTCAAATTCTTAACATCTGGCCACAACTGCACCACCCTTCTGAAGTGAAAGCACTGTGCAAAATAAAAAACATTCTCACTGCATTATCAAACGTGCTAATTAGGCCAAATTGTCTGGCTGAATTGTACTTAGCTTAACTCAAACTCATCCCAAAGAAAGAAGATGTAAACATTCTGGGACAAACCCTGTGCTTTGAACTGGGCTGTTCACATCCACAGCACCAGTGTGCAAACCACTTATGCACCAGAACCAGCTTGTTCAGAAGGCCACATGTACTGGAATAATTTGCCAGGTTTACTAATTAGCTTCTCTCCCAACCTTCTTGTGACCTCGAATACTCTGCAGCATGCATTTCTTGCACCAGTGAGAGGGAAAAGCTTACAAGCTTGTGCTGGAAAGTCTCTGAGGATAACTTTACAAATAGTTCTGACAAAAGAGATATTAAAAAAAAAAAAAAGCCACAAAATAGATGCAAAAATTGGCACCTGGTGTGAAGTGTGGCCAAAGAAGCCCACCTCCAATGGCATTTTTACAAGGAACTCATCTGGATGGAGGTGAAAGGGAAGAAATATTTGGTAGTGGAAAAAGCCCACACTGGAGGTTGGCCATGCCAGATGCAATTTCATCCTTAAATCGGTCATTTAGCAAAGTACAGCCACAAGCACACACGCACACACACTTATACGGGAGCAATTTGTGGCTGACTGGCAGAATAACAAAATATGATCTGCTTTATCTTGAATAACCTCACAGAAAGACAGGGAGGAAGAGTCTATGTCTCACTGGACAGAGAGCACAGCTCGGTTGTAATCATAGAAGAGGATTTTTAAGTCTATGGTTGTTCTCTAGTATTTTCCATTCATCACTGCTTTGCCATATAAACTCTTCTGAACGTTCCTGAGAAGTTACAACGGTGTGTTGAGAGTCAAACATAGGAGCCATGCTACACCTGTGAGAACAGGTCACCACTGCTCAGGGGGCTCCTGGCAACAGCATCCTTTCAGAGAACTGTCAGGGATACCACATGGAAAAGCCAAGTCTGATGCCTCTGCATGCATATAGCAGTTTGAGTGCCACTAATTTAAATTCCCCCGAGAGAGGCAGCACCAACAGATATAAAATAATTTATTGCAAAGTGCGTTTCCATCTACCCTGTGGGTTACCAATGGGCCCCGTGCTCTGCTCAGGGTGCCAGCCCTCAGAAAATTAGATGGCCTAAAGGCACAGGAAGTAGTTGTGTTTTATCAAGATGTAGGTCGTCTCTGATGAGAAGCTCTTAATCACAGACAGAGGAGCACAGTACCCAACAGCATGTCATGACTTTTACATTCTCAAGAGGTCTGGCTGCCAGGCAAGTTGCTTTTTTTCTTTTTTTTTCTCTTTTTCTTAAATAATTAATATCTCTGCTAATTACAGGGGACAGTCTCCTCCTAATAGATTTGTTGCAGGAGATGGCTCTTATCCCCGTAGAACACATTGCTTAGTGACTCCTGTTTCCAATCCCCAGACTCTCTCAGAGGAAAAATTATAATGCTGCCCATCAAGCCACCAGATCCATCATGAAAGGAACTTTGAAAACGAGAGCCAGGTGCCTAGATAGATCTGGTGGCAAATCACTATACAGCCCCCAAAGGAGAAATATGAGGTATGATCCTGGCAACATTACTTATTGTACGACATAGCCAAGACATGTGGATTAGCTCCACCGAGGGTCTTAGAAACTGAGCTGGTCAGACCCACAGAGGATAAGAATGATCATGATCCGGTACAGGCTGACCCCAACACCTCAGGCTGGCATGCCAGAAACACCAGGCAAAGACTGATCGAACACAGTTTTGGAGGCGAGTATTGCGAAGACCTCTATACTTACCACCAAGTCCCGAGTGCTTGCTCAGAGGGGATGGGATAATGGAGAAAGAAAACTCAAAAAACAGCTGCCTCAAGAAATGACTTGTATTTGTAAGAAAAGCAATGAATGCCTGGCACAGAGTAAAAAAATGCTCGTATGAAGTTAAAGTGAAAGAACAGAGGCAAATGTTCTTCAAATACCAGCAGCACACATAGTTAACAGTGCAAATATAAACTACAAAATGTTAGACTAATCTAGTCAGCCAGAATACAATGTTAGCCAATGTAGGAAATGGTTGAAACTCTGCCACCAGTGGCCTTATGGCTAAGAATTAAAAGGACAGGCACATTAAAAAAAAACCTCTAAAAACCTTATGGAATGGTTATTTTTTCTTCCCTCCCCCTTTTGCCTGGCGTGGAGGCATGGGCAGCGAGGCCCTCTCGGTTATGGCTCTCTGCAGCCGGCCACTGCGACAAGGCAGGGTGGCCTGCGGCGGGTCTCGAGAGTCGCCTGTCCCCTCGGCCCCAGGTAAGCACACAGTGGAGGATGCCACTGCGTCCTCCCCGGTCCATGTCGAGGCACAGGTCAACTCGACATGGGGGGTGGCTCTTTGGGAAATGCGCGTTTCAAGGACCTGCGTCCTCGGCTGCTTGAGGAAAGCTAAAATCTCTGACAGGTAGTTATGGATGGCTCTTGTGGAGGTAGCCACAATGCCCAGCTGCAGCTCCATGCGGCCCATGGACTGGGACATGAGGCCCATGGACTGTGCATGCTCCCTCTTGATATTTTCCAGCAGCTGCACAATCCTACTGTTGGTTTCCATCAACAGCTTCTCTCCCTCTGTTAGCTGGGGCTGCCCTCTCCAACCCCGATCCCTAGGGACAGGCTCAACACCGCAGCGCTCTTCATTCATTTCATCATTTCCCTCCTCCTCAGGAGAGTCACTTTCAAACTGAGGAGTTCTACTGAGTGACTGATCCCCGGGAGACTGTATGTCCATGGTACACTCCGGAGTCCGCGCTGGCGTCTGAAATCCCTCAAAATCCTCCCCAACGTTGCTGTGCGTTTCAGACGAGGACAGTGGCCACTGCCAGCTCTCTGTGGTCCTGGCTGGTGAGTCTTCATCAGAGGCAGGCACCGAGGATTCCTGTTCTTCGGCCGGCGTGGACAGCAAGCTCCCTCTGTGATGGCTGGCTTGCCCCGAGGATCCAGGAACCTCCCCATCTTGCTCCCCAGTGACATCTGGCAATCAAATAGAGGAGCAACAACCACTGTATCTGAGGCCAGGCAGATGGAGGTATCTACATGCATTGGACAACACATAGAAAGAAGCCAGTTGGGAAGCCAAGAGTGTATGTGTTTGGGCAAGCAGAAGGGTGAACTAAATTTTAGTGACTGCACTGGGCATGTGGCAGTTGAAGTTATTAACCACTTTTAGTACCAATGCACACTGTCCTGTACCCAGAACACACACAGCCGTGCTGCATCCCAAGGCAGGAACTACCAATTCCCCTCAGCATGACTGTGACAGGAAATGTCAGTGAACCTAGCGAAAAGCTCACCTATGCACTGCAGTGGTGCCAGTCAGAAATCCCTGGGACGAGCTCAGGGCCAAGGGTCCAATTGAGCTTCCTGGGGTGCCAGATGTGCTCCACCACTGGCTGAGGGCAGCCCTTTGTTGCTCTGAGGCACTGCTGGCTATCTTCACTTTTGTCCGCCGTCTCACGTCACCCCCACCCCCAGTGGGCTCTCTCCCAAGTCACTGCTGCAGCGCGACGGTGCCTGTCCACGGGGTTTATCCCGCGAGCAATGCCCTCCCCAACATCTGCAGGATTCTCCTTGCTCTTTTCCTCCAAACAGTTGGAAACGCTATCTGAGGGCATTGCTCACCGGGATCTCATCATCTCCTGGAAATGAACTGCGTTTTGCCCTCCCCTGGCTATTCTTCCCTTGCCTGAGGGCACGTGGTGGAAAACCGGGTGCAAGTGCTTCCCTGTGGCAGCTCAGTGTGCAAGGAGGCATTGCTACAGACCTTAAGGTGGAGGATGCTATCTATGTGCTTACTCTAAATCCTCCCCTGTATACAATGCCCTCCCCAAAGGTGAGGAATGGCTCAGCTGTTTGCACCTGCAGCCATCACTGGCTCACAGTAGAGCACCATCTGCCCAGCTCTATTCTTGATTACATGAGGCTGTGGCCACAGCTCTCACCCTTTCCATGCTTCAGATTAAAAAAATGGGTCTGCTTTTTTTTTTTTTTTTTTTTTTTGATGGGGGACAATTTGGCCATCAGAAATTAATCTGGGGCAGTCTGGCTAAAATGTTGTGGTAGGGTAGCCCAAACCCCTGCATTCCCAAGGCTCAGGCAAGGGACAGGTGACAGAAGTGCAATTGTCAGTAGGACTGTGTCCTGAGCAGCAGTGGCTCACCGTTGCTGGCTGTGCTGCTTATACTACAGTGGTCTGGATGCCAGCTCAGTGTCATGCCTATTCTCTGGCATCCCAGTCTCAAAAAAAGTTATTTTTCAAGGATTAATTTCTGCTTTTTGAAATACTCTGTATGCTGCTCTTCAGACCTCGACAGAAGCTGTAAGCTTACATCTGCAAGGTGTTGCTGAGGTCATACTAAATGATAATTTTGGTTCTGTTTATGAGTCGGTAGGGGTTTTGATCGATTTTTTTTTTAATTATTCTATATGGTTTAAAATGAAAGCTCCTTCTCACAGACCCAAGGATCCCTCCTCCCTGTCTACCATAATGTGGTACTCATTATTTCTGCACCCAAGTGCCTCCAATATTATACTGGTCTAAAAGAGATTCTGTGTGACTTAATAGAAAGATGAGTTTTAAGTGCTGAAATAATGGATATTATTTGTGCATTTAGCATATTCACTACTTCAAAGTATTCACATTCAAAGTATTCATATTCCCTCTGGCTGGACTGTCCAGTTGCATGTTTTATGGAAAGTGAGGATGAGACTGTATTTGTAAAAAGGCATGAGCTCCTTATGAAAATGAATTTTAGGGACAAACTGTCATGCAATCATTGGCTCTTCCACTCCATGGAGATTTGAAAGTGACTATATATCAACCTAACTAATAACTGCTTCTTCCTTTGCAATTCCTCTCTCACTTTGTCTAATACAGCCATAGGCATTCCTTCATTAACAAATCTCTCTTTACAACTATAGTGTAGGACCATGCATTATATCTCTGCATTTTCCTATTTGAATACACATGAAAAAAAGCACAAAAAAAGCAGGGGACCTATTTTTACCACACATAGCAAACACACATTTCAGTTAAAGTCTATGGAATCAGTGGGAGATAAGGGATCATATATACTCATTCTGGTAGAGCCACTGGTCATACAAAATGTCTTGGTATTTCTTCTGACATGTCATCAGAAAATTCCCCATATTTGAAAACTGTATTTACCTGACAAGTGTTCTAAGCAGAACCCATCTAACAACTGGCAAGCAACAGAACCAAACTAAACTAAAAGTCAAAAACTGAAGCAAAACAAAATCAAAAAACTCCAAAATCCACACTGATTTATGAATATTTCTGTAAATGGTATCACTGACTTTAGTTTGTTCAGGATCAGAGGGATCACAAAACTTTTGTTATTTGTGCATGTTCACACACTTGCCAGAGGTTTGTGAAGAAAAAAATCCCTGAAAAAGCATAATAAAGTAAATTTTTGCAAAATTCTTAATTCTCTATGAAAATTTATCAGTTGTTACCCTCCTGTTCAGTATTTTCAGCCTTTCCGAGCTGAAAGAACAGCATCTGGCATGGGTGACCAATAACACAAATGACAAAGGGCACAAGCAAAGAGACTGTGAAAAACCCTGGGCATAAAGTTAATTGTGGAAACTCTTGGCGAATACTTCTGAATAATGAATACATTCACAGGTTTTAGGTTAGGTTGGTAAACTTGGCTAGCAATGAAAAGGAGGAATAATCATAACTGTTATTGCTTGTAACAAGGTGTTCAACACTTAGTAACTGTGGGTTCTGGAAGCTTTGTGAAGCATTGACATGGGGCACAAGGAACTGAGGGTGCACTGCAGGTATGGCCTCTAGTTAAACTTGGGAAAACTGCCTGAAGGTCAATGGCTGACACCACCTTGATGTATGTGTCTGTCTCTGCCCAAGAAATCCATTCCTTGATGACCAAAAATTGCCTGAAGTTCAGGGTGCATCTCGGTCAGATGGTTGCACCAGTGCCTAGGCTGATGCTGTGGAAAAGGTGTGCCAGGGGCATTGGAAAACTTGGTTCAGCCAGAAATTGTCCTATGTTTGAACAGCTGCTGACAGAAGGATTGAAGCTGACTGATAGAGTGACCTCAACTAACTGCCTTTACCTCCTTTCCTTGGAAAAGGGATGACTTCCAAAAAAAAGAGAGACAGGGCACTACAATTGTCAAGTCAAAATTGTCCATGAGAACATAGATCAAACTGTACACCACCACTGTTGATCTTACTTGCTTGTTAATTTGCTCTAAAAAAATATTTCTCTTTTCAAAGCTTAAAATAGAGTGGGTACAAAGAAGTTCAGCTTCCTTGGGTGTGAAGCAAAAGGAAGAAGTCAGATTCTGTGACTTTTTAGTCATTTCCACACCATTCCTATGTGCAGCATTTTGCTCACAGGGATATATCCAGGCAAAATAGGTCACTTATGTTTATATCTACTGATAGCAGCCACCAAACTGGCAGTCTCCAAGGTTCATGTTCCTAACTTTATGTCCGTTGCTCTGCCAGGGCATGACTCCCATTTTGATCCTTAAATGACCAAGTAATGGACTCAGAAGGGGTAATTCATATGGGCTAAAGGGAATGGAAATTCTGGAAGTCAGTGACCCCACTGAACTTCAACTTTAGTAGTTGATCACTGTGACTACTATGCAGCTATTTCCTAAAGTCCCATGGGACTCACAGGTTTCTGAAGACTTTTTTGTTTTGTTTTGTTTTGTCTTACCTCACTGATTCTGTTGTGTTTAAAGAAAAAGGATATCTGGTATTAAAGTGGTCCCTGTAATAGCAACTAGTGAACCTCCATCACAGTCCTGGCTATCTTCCTTTCTGCCCTGGTAGACAGGTTCTCTGTTTCTGCAGCAGAGCCTGGAGCTGCTCCCTATCCAGGTGTTTGCCCTGGGCTGATACACAGCTTGGTCTGATGTGGTGGATCAGCAACTGCTCCTGGAGGCCACAGGAGAAGCTCCATGTGTGCCTGCAGGGGTGAGCTGTGTCTGCCTGATCCTGCCCTGAATATGGTGACTAGAAGCCAAGTTTATTCCAGCCTTTAGGTTCATGAATACGTCCATTATTTTGGAGCACTGCTATACTATGCTGTCTCCTTTGTACCACAACATTCATTACCAGTGAGAGTCCTTTATGCTGGTTATTAGACATATTTAGGATTGCAGCAATTTTGGGTGGAGGTACACAGAACTAAACACTTGATTGATCTGCAGGGGTAGAGGACTGAGTCAGAGGCCAAGAACAGAGCAGGGCTTTGGATATACAGAAACTTTAGAGACATCAGAAGTATTTCTTTAACTTTTGTTCACTGAAGAACATTTGGGACTTATGCCTGTATTATGCCTTACCTGCCACTTGAACTGGCAGCTGATCCCTCCCCTGAGATGTGCTGCTCTTTAAGAAGCCCTCCTTTTGAAATCCCACCATTCCTGTTTCACCTCTGCTACTGGATCGTTGCCTTTTCCATTATCTTTCCTTTTCAGATTGCCCACCAGCAGAGCTGCACGTGAGGGGTGGGGCACCGTCTTCCTGCTGACAGGTGGGTGGAGATGTTCCTTGGCCACACCAAGTGGGCCAGGAGCTCAACAACAGCGGGAACACAGTTGGAGAGCTTCCTGGGACCTGCCTCTGCTGCTCTGGACCTGGGCCTCTGTCTGTATCTGCATCATGCCTCCTGGGGTGGGTGCATTTTTCAAAGTGCTTAGGTACCAAGGTGATAGGTGCCTTGTAAATACCTAAGATAGATACAGACAGAAACTGTACCAGGTGCTTTATTCAAAACTTCATACAATGCCAATTGCACCTCCGTGCTGTAGTGTCACCCACCTGGTCTAGCATCTGCAGTCAACCACAGGCAAATATTTGGCACATGCATTTTTTTCCTTTTGAAAAGTGATGGGAACACAGGACATTCATTCTTCCTTGGTGTCAACAGCTTTGGGCATATGGCCCTTAATGTCAGGTACTGCACATGCACGTTTTGTTCCATCGCCTTCCCTAAATACGAGTTTGAAGGTTTAGTTTAATATCTTTCATCAGCTGATAAAATTTGTCCACAATCTGCAAAAATGGGTTACTAAAAGGGTAGTCTTCGCATGTGCCTATTAAAAATGGATAGAGATTCATTTAAACTGCATAAAAATATGGCTGTGGTGTTGCTTTTATCTTATGGATTAACTTTTTTTACCCAATTTCTTCTATTTTTAACTACAAGCCATTTGATTTTGGTATGAAAACCAGCAGTGATTACACATGTAATTAAGTTTCCAAGTCTGAAAAAAAAAGCAGCATCTAAAACAAGCAGGTGCAATTATTTACACTGCATTCCTTCCAGGTTTTTTTCACTTCCCATATAATGCAAAAGAGCTTGCCCTGCTTAGTTTGTAAAACAATAGCTGGGAAGTAACTTTCTAAATACTTGGGGGTGAATGTCTGTGGGTGGGAGAACTATGTAAAGGACAATTTGGGTGAAAGGTCTGGGAATGTGGACTAGGCTTTCAAAGAAGCAGATAGACCAGCTTTCCAATATTAATGGGGTGGCAGCAAAAGATGAGAACCTAATGATTTCCAAAGAAAGCTTGGTCAGACTATAGAAGATCTTTTGATGATGTTGCTTGTCATAGAAGCAACTGCACCTGATGAGTAAAACTTCAGTGTTCCTGAGGAAAAACAGGTGACTCCTATTTGGAGATGGTTAAAATTGGATCTCTGATACATCAGCTGTGCCCACTGAAAATGAATGGCTTTCTTTTGATCTATTAAAATAGGATTAGATGTATAAAAATTCATCAAAGACCAGAAGTAGGTTAAGTATAATGAGGCTTTCAACACACCACTAAGCATTTAAAGACTAAGCTTAGCTAAAGCATTGATTCAGAGTAAGAATATTAAAGGTTAAGGTTGAAATCCAAATTTGTTGTTTACGATCATATTCAGAGAAAAGAAACAAGTTCAGCCTACAGTTATGTCATATAAATGTATAGTTAAAAGTACACAGAAATGGAATGGTCCGAGTTTTCATGTAGACAATTAGGTTACTCCTAATACTCCTCATAAATTTGCCACCACATTTTAACCTGGAATGAACTTCTTCCAGCCCCACCTCAGAGGAACAATTTGCAGGATTGTGCTTAAATCACACATTTACCACACTGTGAACAACAGGCAGAGAATATTACTTTAGCAGTCAGCTTGATGAGGAAATAACAGAAGTGCTTTGCAATACAGTCAAACATATAAGGCACTTGAAAAACTTTCCTTCTATGAAAATTAAGTAAAAATACTTGTCTGTTCTCTGGGATACTGTAAACTCTACAAAACACTAAAATAAAATAAAAAAAGGGAAAATATAGAAAATAAATCAGTAAAACATAAAAATTGTTTAGTGACTAAAATTAATCATTTAACATTGAGTAAATACCATTACGTGATTTATGGAAATGATTTGTATGTATCAAAGTAAAGAACTATCAAAACTTTCTTGAAAGAAAGTCTTATTTGTGTTTCTAGGGCTGAAAATTGCTTCACATTAGTACACACAAGTCACATTTACACATTATAATCACACTATGAAAAGTAACTTTAAGGAAGGCAGAAAACTGATATGTTCAAATTCTTTCAGAGATACAATTTTCAAGTACCAGCTCTTTAACAGTATAATCAATTCATGAAATAATTATACAGGCATTTAAAATACACCTGCAATCCTGAAGCCTTACAATTCAGCCTACCTTGAAAGAGGAATGGTCATTGTCTAACAGTGGTTTCTGTTCAAGAACAAAAACAAAGCAGAGAATATAGTCAATACCCACTCCTATCCTGCAAGCCAGGTGGAATTTAAGTGGCAATTTTATGTTCTGTTTAAGAGACAGCATTTGAAAATTTGGCCTAGTCACAAAAGAAAGACAACCAACTGAAAGAAACCAAAAAGAAAGTGGAGGACTTAAGACACTTGCAGCCTTCTCTGGTCTTACACTTACTCTCACACTTCCACACCGAGGGGAAAAACCAAACGAACTATGAGGAATTATCTAAAACCATTTATTTTTAATTATATTAGAAATTAATTAACATGGATATATGAACATTTGAAGGCAAAAGAAAATGTAATAGCAGCAAAGGGAGTTTTGAGATGAGGGAGATAAGTCCTTCATCTCCCTGGCTCCTGAAAAAAAGAGAGAACACATTAAAAGTGTTGAAGGAGTTTTTCACTACCCTAACTGTGCCATGTTGGGAAACGCATGCAATTTTAACTTCTCCTCGAGCCTTCATGATTTTGAATATGGGCTCAGATATTAAATTGATAATATCTGAGCATAGCAACACTCACATAAGTCAACGTATTTAATTCGTCTCTTTCCAAATGCTACAAACCCCACATTTTCTGTAACACTTACAATTCCTTTTCCAACTTCTTTTATACCATTGTCTTGTTTGGCTGATGCAGAAGGATTTTGAAAACCTTTTCAATTACTGTCCTGTAGTAAAGAAAAACAAGTATCATGAAAGAGCGCTACACACTCCAGAATAAGCTGATAAATTCAAAATAATACTAGTGTACATGAGAACACCCACACAGGGATTCAACCAACCCTCTCAGGATTCCCAGAGCTTCCAAAATATTAGTTAAAGCTGCCCACCTCCTGCAACATAAACCCTGGTTTGAAGAAGTTTTTAGTTCCAAGAGTTACCTGTTAATTTTAGATTCTGTGGCACAAGTTGTTAATCAGCACATTGCCAGTCAAGTGCCAAACTTTTGCTGGTGGAAAACATAGGGTTAGCGCTGTTCCCTTTTTGAAACTTGCCAATTTTCAATACTTTTCTCTTACGAAGTGTTTTACCAGTACTCATGTTGTAGCCACAGCCCTAATCCTACACCTTCTTCCTGTGGACTCCCCATAAGTTACACTCCAAGTTGTAAAATCTCACTACATCAGCAAAAAAAAGGGCTGGTATACATGTACTTCACAAATTCCACCCAGAGTCACTGCTTTCTACTTGTGATAAATGATAACCCAATGACAACCTTTTCCTCATCACTACATTGCTGTCTTATTACAATTTCAAATAGGTAACGCAAATCAATTACTTACACGGGCAACCTTCAAGAATTCTTCATTAAGCCTGATGCCTTTTGCTCTCATCTTCTAAAACACAGTGTCTGGTGGAGGTCAGAAAACCTTCTTCCTACAGAGAAGCACTGCAGATGCTGGAAACTACCACAGGAGTTGAGGCTGTGAGTGCTGTAAAAGTTCCTTTGGTGGTATTCCCATTGTTTTCCTGCAGACAAATCTCCATCATCAACTCCACCACAGTGAAATAAAGAAATGATTTTTGAACCAGACGACTTTAGGAGTGGTTTCTTCAAACATAACAGAACACTGTAAGCTAATCCACTGTTTGGCATTCATTTATATATATTTGCTCTGCAATTTCATTGTTTCAGATGCCATTGGAATGTGCCTCCTTTGAAACAATGGACAACAGGAATGGGATGAAGTGTGGACACTTACTGCAGACAGAGCTAATAATATTTCTTTTGAATGCCATCAACTGATATTTTTCTATTCAAATTCCAGTAAAGACTTGATGCCAGCTAACAATATTCTGTGTTGATGATATCACAGTTATTCTGTATCTGTAAGGTGGTGATAGACTCTAAACTCTTCAGAGGAGGAAAATCCTATATTTATATTTGATACTGTAGCCCATATCAGACCCCAAAGACCAGTATCAACACACATATTTCATCAGTGTATGGTATATATTAATGTTTTATATTGATTACCATAACAAATCTAAGAACAAACCAAACATCATCCCTAGCCACAACTGAGATTCATGTGACACTGCCAGTGGAATATCTCTTAATGGTGAAGAATTATTTATCCTGTCATTCCCATTTTGCTACAAAAATTTAGCCTGCTCTAGTCTTAATTTTATACTTTCTCTTAGAGAACTTTATATCAGGCATTTTAAAATTAAACACTTCAGTTTTCACTGAAAATCCCAGATTATTCACTAAATCAAACCCATTTCCTGTCAGGAAAAAAAGAAAAAGCTTAGGAGCAGGATGTTTAAATAATGTTTAAATAATGTATCTAAACATTTGCAGGTCTTAGTTTATGGATGTGTTCCTTAATGATCACATAATTTTAAAATTCTCCATCCACAAGAAGTTATTGATTAAACAAGTCAAAGCAAGAACTGAAGAAAAAAGCCCTTTAAAGGCAAGCTTTTCACCAGCTGCATAAACTTTCTATGAACAGAGTTAAATTTATTTTAAAACATTAATTTTGAAACTCAAATGATACCCATTTTGAAACTACAATGATATCTATTTTCTCCAGTGATGACGAAAATTATGACCCCAAGTTTTCCTTTTAATGTTTAATTTTCAGAGTATTTTTAAACCTTCATTTAAATTTGCTGCATGAATATTCTGGTTATTCTTCAGTATTAATGGAATTACATTTTAAGTGCTACCTCCAACAAATTGCTGCTACAACTGTTAGTTTACATGTTGCCACGACTTACTCATTCTTGGAATTTACAATCTTTAGAATTCTTGGAAAACTACAAATCACAAATGAAAGAAGAATGCCTCCTCCCCATCCCAAATATCCCACAAAACCCAGAAGGTAGTTTGACTGTTGAAAACTTCACATACACATTTTAAAGTTGGAAGCTATCCCTGAGTCAGGCAACTACTACAAGTCAGTGGCACAAATGAAGCACCGCTAAATTTTAGTGATTCATGCTATGCAACTGCATTAAAATGACAGTACTGCCCATGCCATGCTGCTCCAAACCTAAAGATTTTATTACCTATCTTTTTAGACACAACTATCATATCCTGAATATAAAAAGTACAGCCTATGTCCTTCTCCTCTCCTGTCCTCCCAATGAACCAGAACCCATCTCCAGAGACAACCAACAAAACCAGTCAAACAGAACCACAGAAGCCGTTATTTTTATCTTATGTCTCTCTTGCCTCTGACCCAGAAAACTGAATTTTGAGTTGACAGAAGACTCTACAATAACAATGCAAAGAGTTTTTTTATATGCTGCCAAAATATATTTTTCAGTAGCCATGTGGTTTATTCTCTGAATGGAGAATGGCAAATATCAGTAGGTGGAACCTGTTTTAATGACCTGAACGGAGGTCAGGAAAGAGCAGAAAAATAAAGAGTGGAAAATAAACCAATTTTGTCCTATTTAATGTTAAAAAGGAAAAGCTTCCCTGTTGAGAGAAGACACTGCCTACAGCCTAACTTTCCTTTCCATGACACTGACCCTTGTCCAAGAGCAGGACACAGCCTGTTTTTCCAGCTACCACCCAGGGTCTCAGACAGGTTTGAGGCTCTTCCTCAGGCCAGACGGCATGAGAAGGTGGAGATGACACGGTCCCTGCTCAGGAGAGCTCACAATCTAGGAAAGCAAAATGACGTATAGGAGCATGGAAAAATACAGCTCAACACAAACAAATTCTGCATAAACGTATGTACATTGATAAAAGCTCTTCAAATAGCACCACTACTTCTACCTGCCCCTCTGCCTAGCCATCAGTGCTTGGATGGTTGCTTAACAGGGATCTAGGGAAAGTGAGTCTTTAGGAGAGATGTCAAGGAGAAGATTTTATGGATCAGTCCAGGGAGGGCACGCCATGCATACGGGACAGCGTGGGAGATGTTATGTTGGGAATTAAAAATTGTGCAGAGCAGCATTTTCTCCAGGTCAAAAGCCCAGGTGTTGTGTGCAAGATCCCTACTTCCTGAGACAGAGACAGCATGGTTTTATGGGAGTAATGTGTGGCCACTAAAAAAGACAAGCAGAACCACTAATGTAGGACTACACTGAGGATGTTACTGGCCACTACCTCTCCGTGGCTGCCAGTGAGCACAGTAACTGTGAGGAGATGAGATGGAAGGGTTTGGAAAAGAGTTGGATACAGAGAAGGAAAAAAGGCAAGATGAAGGAAAGGAGACAAAAGGAAGAAATGTGGGGAGTATTTTCAAATGTGGTCTTCTGTTTGAGTTCTTAGCGTGTTTGCAATTTATTAACTAAATAACTAAAAAACATATATAATAATTAATGTACATTTGACACCATAAAATAAACTGGACCATATGCCAACATTTACATTATGTTATTATCCTTCACTATGGAAAGGTGAGAAACAGGTTAAACAAGAGACAAAATGCTTCCCCTTACCCTTCTTCTTCCGTACTGAAGCTTGGAAATAGAAAGGGAATGAACTGTGAATCAATTCTGAAGGTAATTTTTTATATGCTAAATCCTTGTCTGTCATTTTAAGCATAAACATTATTCTTCCATCTGAGATGTCAGTCTCTCCCTGCTCCCCTCCACTAAACATGTATCTATCAAAACACAGTAGACAAAATCTGCTTTTGCCAAGATGTTTATCAGGGTTTGTATTAAGAAATTTCTCCTCTGCAGGTATTAGGGACACATGTACAGTTAATTTTTTTTTCTGAATTTTTTTTCAAAACAGTAATTGGGGCAACTTATTGACACCAGGGCTTTCAAACTATGACAATAGGGTATTTTCAAATCTTTGCAGGTTGAAGGGGAAAGGAATCATGAGCACAAGTTATTTGCTATCTTTGGGATCAATTAGTTTAAAAGAGAACAACTGAGATGGTCTGCTCAGTGTTATGAAGAACAGGATAGCTAAAAACACATCAATAAAACTGTAAGTAGCGTTCAGAGCCAGGCAAAAGAAGTAACTGTAATGACTACAAGATGTATAATTAAAAAAAAAAAGTTGTTTAGCTCAACTAGGAGACATTACAAAACTATGTACTCTAAGGGAAAACAAGTGGGGAATTTCTACTTTTCTTTCTATTACATAACAAGGGACATTCAATAAAATTAAAAGCATCACATTTAAAACCAATAAAAAGGAAATACATTTGTACACAGCACATAATTAGCCCATGGAATTCTTTGTCATGAGACGTTATTGAGACCATGAGCTTCTCCAGTTCAGAAAAAAGGATTACACATATATATTGATGAGAACATCCACAGAGTTCATTTATAGATCTTTCCTATTTAGTTTGCATATACATGTTATGAAATAAATGCTTATTCATTAGTTTAACGGATATAAAAATGTGGGTGTTCTCATAGTTCTCACAGATGTCCAATATATACACATATACATATAGAGATATATAAATTAGAGATAAATACACACATACAATCTGTGGTTCATGTCAGAAGACAACTTTAAACTGATGATAGGGAGAACATTTTCATTTGGGAAGCTTGTTCAGTTGTGCAATTTAGCAATTCTTGTTCCTTCTGATAAGAACCCTTTTACAGGGCAAATATGAAAATAGGTTGACCACAGATTTTATTTATAACAGTAGTTATATTGTTTGCTACGTTGGCAAGGGTTCAGAGTGTCACGCAAGTGCCATTTACAGCCTTATTTAGGAAGAAAACAAATTTATGCCATTCCTATAGCTTTACTAGGGGACATAAACTCCTGGAACATGGTGCAGGGCTATTCTTCAGAATAGCAAACTCTTGCCACTGTAATATTTGCCCTGTCTGGATAAAGATATGAATGGGAAATGTGCTTAAATATTGAGATGTGTCCCATGGCTGCTTGTTAAATGAGTTGTGGTGTTTTCTGCCAGTTGGGGAGAACAAACAGCAGGTCAAGTGCTACAACATGAACTGGGGGTGAGGAAGCTAAATTAGATGGTCCTCACTGCAGGGGGATGTTACTATTAACAGGTTGTTCTACCCCAGGAAAGAGTGCTACCTCTCTCTGCTTTGAGAACAGTATCCCCTATGGAAGATTGAAAAGAGAAATAGAAGAGTATCCTATATTTGAAAGCAATTTGCAGAAGAGGATAATGAAGGGCCAAAAAAGCAAAGTTTTACAACCTTATAGCAAAAAAAAGCACCCAGACCCAAAAAGTGGCTCCAGAAAGAATATTTTACATTTTAAACACAGAAGAAAAATGACAGAGCATTCACAAAGTGTTGATACCTTTAGCTAAGCTCCTAAACTTCCTGACCCAGAAAAATCAAATTTTCTGAGATCTGTTAGAGCTAAATAATCAGACTGTTCAATTTTGGTTTTCACTTGGTTGTTACACCATAGAGAAGACAGTGCTCACTTCAGCCCCCCTCTGTTGGCAAGACCTCCCACTGGACCTGTGTGACTTGACTCCCTTAAAGATGGATGGGGTCCATCTGCCCCAGAAAACACTGACTTTCAGGGGAAAAAAAGTGGCCACAAGGCTTTGATTCCTTCCAGTTGGCCTTCATATGAATCCATACCAGAAAAAAGAAAGATTATAAAATGTAAATATTTAAATCAATGTAGAATTAAATGGAAAAAATGGTTTTATTGTATGATTTATTATCATCTATTACTCTGCAATGAGGGATGTGGTTTGTTTTTATACCCAATTATCACTTGTTAAACACACTGTTTTACTGTTATAGCCATATAGAAATATGCACTGGGTTTTTCTCTGTGTGTATATGATTTATTCATAACATATTTCTTAGTCTAGCTGCAGAAATTCTACTTTTTAATGACCTAACCGGCTAAAACCAGGAAGAAAATACCTTCCTCATTTCTAGAAAATTAAAAATTTCCAAAGAATTATGCATATGTAGGATTGGATGATTAAGCAAAGGAATCTACAGTCACATTTCTTAAAATTAGCAAATAAAAGACTGAATGCTCAATATTTTTTATTATCAATAGAGAGGAATTAAGTTTATATCATGCACAGGAGTCAAAGTGATATCATAATATGCACTTTTTTCAGATCAGCTTAATGAAACAAGTTGAAGTTGAAGCTGCTTTAACACTGTCAGCTTTTAACAACAGCTTCTGGCAGCTTACCTTTATCCACTAATGAGAGGCCACAGAAATTTAAAATAAAACAATATTAGATGAACTGCAAACTCAGAAAGCAAAGCTAACAAAATACGACACGGCATTATTTTTTGTGTGTAGATGTGCCAGACTCTGATGATGCACAAAATGTATCAACATTCTCCTGCGTAGCAGTAAAGGCACAAGTTTAAACAAAAATAATTCATGCGAGTCATGCACAATTTGAACTCTCCAGAGATGCAGCATTCTTAAAACCTTTTCTGTTCTACACACTGTACACAGTGCAGCTCCCTTTAATCAATTTAACACATATACATCTATCTATCTATCTATCTATACATATTTACATTTCTACTAAGCCATGCTTGCCAAAAAACACTTTCTTACCAAGCTCTTCAAGCTCTGAGGTCATTGACTTAGACCGCAGGGTCAGTGCAGTGGTTGGAGCTCGCTTAGGAGGTGGTGGGGCTTTGCATTAAATAGAAAAATACACAGTGTAAGGAAACACCTTCAAACCCTACATTTACATCCACAATTTCACCTCAATTTAAAAAGAATAAGCTACATGAAATAAGGTAAGAATAAATACATACATGCGGAGGAAAAAGCCCTGAGATGCTTTTCCTTTACTGAATTTCTCTACTGTTTCTGGTTTTAGCGTAGGCTGTTTGACACATCCGCAAGCTTTTATGTAACACAGGATACATAGAAACACTTAAAGCTAAATAACTGTGCCCTTCTATTTTCTAGCAGGAAAAAGGCTTCCTAGATGAAGGGCCTCACAGCAGTTGTGCCTCTTCTAAGGCTAAAAACCTCCTGGATAGCAGCCAATCTCTGCCAGATTAATTTAATTTGTGAAGAAACTGTTCAATCTGAGAAATATAGGAAGATTCAAACTGATCTGAATAGTTATGGTGAGTCTAGGGGAAACAGATGATCCTCAGAATAAAGAAGATCTTAAAATATCAAGACGGTCATCTAGCACAGGAACTAAAATCCAGCATGTGCTTTAGAATCCTGAGAACAAATGTTTCTAGTGGTCAGAAAGGAGCTTAACATCCAAAAAGAAAACGGAGACTTCCAGTCAACATCCCTGGCCCTGAGACACCAGGAAAAATTAAGGATTCTCAAGTGTTTTGGTCAATACAAAATGCCTATAGCATTTTGAAAAGAGGTGGCAAAGCAGTTTGAGGGTAAGAATTAAATGAGGTTGGGTATCTGACATCTGACTGATGGCAACAAAGTCCTTCCACACAATTCCAAAGGTACAAAGGCAATTGCCAGGAAACAAGCAAGGCTACAAATTGCCATCAAAAAGGGACAAGATTCAAAGGGGGAAGTGGTTGGTAAATGATGCATTATCACTAGGAATTACAAGATGACAAAGAACTGGATTTGTTTTTATAGAAGCAACTTCCCTTTGGGTTGTAGACAACAGCACTTTTATTTCACTGAATGGTTTGGGTTGGAAGGAACCTTACAACTTATCTTCTTCCACCCCCTGCCATGGGCAGGGACACCTTCCACTAGACCAGGTTGCTCTAAGCCCCATCCAATATGACCTTGACACTTCCAGGGACAGGGCAGCCACAGTTTCTCTGTGAAACTTGTGCCAGAGGCTCACCATCCTCCCAATAAAGAATTTCTCCCTGACATGTAGTCTAAATCTACTCTCTTTAGGTTTAAAGCATTGTCACTACATTTAAGGCCAATATGAAAAATCCCAAAAGGCAGAGATTAAAGGTTTGTTTAAAATGTGTGAATAGTAATTCCAACAAGCCAAAAATAATGCAGGACCATGTTTGGACATGACATAAACATGGCCTTTCCCTCCCACTCCCAAGGTGGGTTTAATTTTATTTGGTTCTTTTTTATTATTATTTTTTTGATAAGCAGTAGATGTGAAGAACATTCCCAGTGTAGACAGAAAGTTTTAGTCATGGACTAGGAGGGAGCCCTGGGCTTCCAGCTCCTCACCCCCTCTTGTGTTGAAGACCCAGGTGTCTGACAGTGATAATTCAAGGAACTGGTGGGAGGAACTAGAATTTTTAAAAATGTGTTACTGCTGTACTAAACACTAGTTAGCAGCAGCAATCTTTCCTGCTTAATGATAATTATGGGGGCCTAATGAATTCCCAGCATAGCTGTCACCTGAGCAAACTGAGGGGCATCTGAGGTGAAGGAAATAGGTAAAATCCATTTTTGTTTCCTTTTTTCTATTTTTTTTTTTTAGTGAAGTTTAAGTGGTGGTTTTTTCATGTGAGGAACACACTGAAATTCTTAAGAGAGTAGCCCAATCTTAGGATATAGGTTAACCCATAATGTCCATTAAATTTAATTAATAACAAACCAAACAAACCCTGGGTTTGGAAAAAAACCCTATCCTGTTTGTACCCAGCCAATTCTTTCCCAAAGTCTTTGTGGCACACAATGTCATACAAACCTCTCTTGGAGAAGCTGTCTTCTCATTATCAGCCAAATGACAGAAAAAGCATCTTAGTGTGTTGTCTGTTGATGAGAGGTGAAGGGATATTCCCTGGCTGGAACAACTCCTCTATTTTAATTTCATGTAGAGGAATTTTCTCATTAAAATGTACTTTTTTTTTCTACCAGAACTTCAGTCTAAACGTATTGCTTACTTTTGTTATTCTTTCTGCAAAAGATGCAAAAGTTCTCAACGATTTCAAGAGATACTCTCATCCCAAGTACATTTGCTATTAACTAATAAAAGATCATCTGTTCTTTGTGCTTTTGTTCTCTCACTACTGCAAGAAATGTTACTACAAGATCCTCAAACATATACATGTACAAAACCCCATAAAGATTAACTTTCATGGCAAGCAGGATGAGAAAATATCACCCTTTTTGTCACTTATTAATGCATAAGCCAAGAGAATTAAATTACTCTAAGTTAAACAAGAATAAGGCATTTAAAAACAAAGTCTATAAATCAGAATTTATAAAGCAGTATTTTCATGCCTATATTTTCTTTTCTGAGAAGCAAAACCAAAAGAGTCCATCAAGAAAAGAGAAGAATGTACCTTTCTTTCTAGCTGTGTCATCTGGATCAAGATTCCTGGTTACTGTGACAACCTTAAGAACGAGGTGATTGCCCCCTTGCCGAATCATGTTCACCACCTGCCTGTGGCCAACTTTCACTACATTCTCATTATTAACCTGCAGAGAAAGAAAAGAGTCTTTCAGATCAAAATGCAGAAAACTTTTTGTTCCAGCAGTTTCAAAAACAGAAGGTGGAAAGGGCAGGAAGGTACAGAATTTCTAGTTACTGTCTTTTAATAAAAATACATATTTAACGAACAGTGGACAGCTGATGAGATGACAGAAAAACAGAGACATCTTTTCAGGAAATATGCAACTAAAGAAATTCAACCAAATCCTCCCCTTTACATATTTTATATACAGCAAATAACATTCTCCTTCTGCAAGTTTCTCATGTCCTGGAAGCAAAGGCAACAGGACCATACCAGGGCAAAAGAAGAGTGGAAAAAGAAGAGTGACCTACATAAAGCCCTGTGGTCATGCCAATTCAACTTCAAACTGCACTGCAACATTCAACTTCAAAATATATATTTTATAATGTAGATATATCTACATTTTCTCAGTAATTCCTAGTGCTCCATCATCCTTTTTGCTGAATAAGTCTTTCCATAATATTAATTAATAGACACAGAAGAAAGCATAGGCATAGAAGTGTAAATAAGCCTGGATAAAAGTAATTTATTTATTCATTCAAGCTATAAGGAGTCACTGGAAGTTCTCTGAAATTTGAAGGATGGCAGCATATAAGATTGAAGTGAGCTATTTGAACACAAAAGATATTGAGGAATGGAAGCAGAGATGCTGCCAAAATACATGCTGGGAAGTTGATCTCTCTCCAAAAATCAACTGACTCAGTAATATTTCACTGAGATCACTCAATGCCTTCAAAATGAACAGTCATTTTCAAAGTGTTTTTAGCTTCCTCTGTTTATTCTGACAGGCTGGGCATCTCACTCTTAAAAGAATTTACAGTTTAGAGCAAAATGTCTCATTAAATATTATTGCCATTTAGAGATCAAACAGCACAAGCAGCCCCACTCCAACTTGAAATTGGTTTTCCATCCATGTATTGAAGGAAAATCTTCCCTTTTTTCAGACTTTAGCTGAGACAAAATGTATTTTAATGAAATAATGTATTGGTAAACCATATTTTTAATAGAATGCTGCAATCAGAAGCTGTCAAGTATGAGCTGTCTATAAGCTTGAGATGCTTTTTGAGATGCTTTTTTGGTTTCATACACAGTGACGTAGGTGTAACACATGCTGAACATCCAGACCTGTTGAGCAGGCAAATATAAAAGTTCTATCATTCTGTGGAGGTGGAGGGTATAAAAGAATATCGATTTAAATAGGACTCTTGCTGCTTGGTTTTATTCTACACCTTCTTAGCATCTGGTATTTAATTCCAAGATATGATATTTATTTAGCTGGACTGATGGCATCTAAATTTAATCTGTCTAAAATACTGAGACAAACAGTTATCCATTTCCTTCCAGTGTTAAAACCTCAACCAGGTAATTCTTTTCTGCAGCAAAAAAAAAAAAAAAAAAAATAAAACATTATGTAATTAAGAATTATGGAATGGATCTACTCTATTTTTGCTGGAATTAAATTTTAAGCTTGGAAGCCAGTGAAGATTACAATAAAATCCCTAATACTGTCAAAAAATAGGGTCCTCCAAGTAACCCAAAAGTTAATATTAATCAAACACATGCACACTTCACTAGTTTAAAGTGATAAATGTGTAAAATTATAAACAGCTTATGCAGTATCCCATCTGTTCCCATTGCTATGTGCAACGATATTTAACATTTAGAGCAGGAGCAAATATATACACAACACATTTCTGAAAGCTGCCTCAGAAACAGAACCTCCAAATCACTGTTTATAGCAGCTTTGTTTAAAAGGCTTGGTTACAAGAGATGGTACCAAAAAGATTTACGTGGCGAAAATAAAAATACTGATAGGAGAGCTGAAGGTTATTTAACTTGAGGAGTCTGCTGAAATACTTGAGAACAAAAGAATCATGAAACCAGCAGAGCAGAAACTCATCTTCATTCTTTAGCACCTCAGGGGGTAAAACTGGAGCATGATTACAAAGCAATAACTTTGGAACTGTCAATAGCTTATAAAGAACTAAATTTCAGAGACATTATTTATTTATTTTACCCTTCTTCAGTATTTTATACAGAAGCCAAATGACTGCAGAAATGGTCAGTAAGTGGTGAGTAACCAGAGTTCAAGCAGGGGTTTTTTGATGGTTTTAGTTTGATATTATTCAGCAAAGATTTTCCAGGTGTGAATAATTTGATGAGTCTGTCTCTCCACTTCCATCTCAATCTTTGGCAGGGGGGAGATGATCACTGCACTCTTCGCAAATTACCTGAAGGAGGTAATTTTTTTACAATCTCTTTAAAACAAGTAAAAAATCAGTAAAAGAAAACAAAATCCCAAACAAAAACTGTAAGAAAAAAAATCTATTTCACCTGTGCCTATTAATTTCATAATCATGTGTGTTCTTGGAATTAATGAAATGTAGTCACATTCTTCAAAATACTAAAAAACTATATTTTTTTTAGAGGCAAAGTGTTTAGAAGGGAGTTCTGTAAACAGTCAAATAGTAAAGTTGGTTTGTAGGCACAAATTTGTGTTTTTCCCTGTTTTCCTGTATCTTTCAGGATATTTTCTGTAATCTTTCATGGCAAAATCTTAAGTTCTTCTTTTACTTCGATTATTCCCCCAAACTTTCCTGCACAGAATTTTTTATCCCATGTCTTTCATAAATAAAGGGAAACAGATAAAGAAATAGATATGTGCTGGGGCTGGTTCTATGCTACATCAATGGCAACTGCTCATGTAACAAGCCAAATACAAGGAAAACTGTCCCTTGGGACAAGCCAAGAATTTCAATAACTCTCCTCTATCCATTCCTGATGCTCAGGAAAAGCCTCAGAATTCTGTATTTTTGAAGATCATACTTTATCACTATTTGGTTAAAAACTGGGCAGTGGGATGGAAGTTACTCTGAGAGAATTTGAGAAATAATTTATGAAATAATATGATCTCATAGACAGAATATCTTTTAAAAATAGCCTAATCTGTAAGCCTGAGCTGTCTAAAGCTGAGCTAAGTTTTGAAGCTTAAAGCTCCAAACCAGAGACTGTGATCAACAACAAAGTTCCTCTTACACAAAGAGGTTTGAACACCAACGATGAAGAGTTCTCTCTCCAACATTTTCTCAAGAGATGATTCAAAAATATGGAGCAAACCAGTGACAAAGACAAGTGCCAGTCACAAACCTCTCTGTCTGTAACATCCAGGTCCACCGCTCTGATGTTATTTTACTGAGAATTTAGTCACAACAACATCTAAAACCCAAAAACCCCCCAAATCACGAAATTTTATTCCAGAATAATGATGTGGATTCCAAGAGCAAAATATCAGTCAGGTAATCAAATTTTTTTATATGTGAAATATTCCCTGCCTGGAGAGCCCTCCTTACAAAAGATGATACATGAACACACATGGATTATCTGAAAATTTTCTTCCTAAAGATTAAATTTACACTTCCACCCCCCAAATAAATGTGTAGTTCCACAACTTAAGAAAATGAAAGTGTATTATTCTTTATAGTAATTATTCCCCACTGAAGCTACAATGAGGTGGGTCCCCATTTTTTTGCCACACCCCATCATCACCACAAAATATTTGATTACAAAATATTTGCTGTGTAAATACATTTATTTGCTTACACAGGCAGATTTAGGACAAGAAAGAACAAATGCTATTATTTAAAAATGTGATTTTTTTTTTTAAAAGAACGAGTTAATGAGATGCTGGGGTAGATTTTGTGGGTATCGGGGCAGGCTGGATAAAAGGATTTTTTTTCAGAAATGCATAGATAGGCAATGGGTTGAAAAAGAATACAATACAATACAATATAATACAATACAATAAAGCAAAATAGTAAAATAACCTGCACATTGTAGGAGAGCAGATGCCTGAGCTGGAACACATTCACCAGAGCAGCCTTCCTGTAGGAAGGTGCAAAAGAAAAAAACACTACAAGAGAAAGAGACCTTTGGAGAGTTTGTTCTATTAATAATTTTTAAAAAATCTTAATTTCTTCAATGCATCGTCCTAATCCTTCCATTACCTAAACATTCTCTCAGTGGAAAAGGTAGTCAGTCATTTTTAACACTTATTAAGTAGACAAAACTCCATCATTCCCCTTGGAATGGCCATTGGTTACAGCTGGGAATGCGCATTCTACCACAAAAAGCTTCTCAGAAGCTCTTTCTTATCCACTGAACTACTTGGAAAAAAACCACAACAAAACCCCAAACCCATTACACACACATTTACAAAGCCCTGCCCACACAGTTTCTAAAATTCACCATTTTTGGTAAATATTTAACACACATAAGCCCAATTACAATTTGCACCAGCAAAATAAATTGCCCACATGTAATTTTGTGGGCTCAAATTAAACTTTTGCATCTCAAGTCCTACACAGGACACTGCCTAAGCCTGTCACAAACCAGGAAGAGTTTCCAGGATTTGTCCTTGACAAGTATATTTAGTGTGTAAAATCCTATTATTTGCTTTATGTTAAAACTTCTAAATTCATCCTAAATGTTGAATGAAACAAGTCCATGGACAGCATGAAGATAAGCAGTCCACCTAGAAAGGCTTCCGTGAAAGCCAATTTTAGCAAATTCTGTTGGCAGCATCCTTTTCCCTGAGTATTCCAGGAAAGGACTGAATCAAAACATCTGCTGATAGAGCTTAGAGGCAAGTTAAAAAGGTCCAAAGCCAAAAGATGCTTTGGTTTAATGGTATTTTATGTGCTTAAAAAATGCATTTAATCACAACTGATATCAAGGTTCATTGTCTCAAAAGCACATGAATTTAACCTGCATCTTAGATTAAAATAGAGAGTAATAATATAATATATAAATGAGTCCCATAATGGCAATTAATTTATGAATTTATCTCTGCAAAGCCAATTACTCCCATCATACCCTAGAAGCTTAAGCAGACAAAAGCAGATGGCTTCAGTCCACCAGGCTCCAACTATTCATTTGAACAATTCCTGAAACAGGCCTTGAACAGTC